GAGTCCACAGGGTTAATCATTGTACGCATACTGAAGCACGCGAGAGTGAGTGAGTAAGTGAGTGAGTGAGTGAGTGTGTGATTCAGCTGAAAAATAAACAAGGCAAAATACCTAAAAACAAAAATATAACCACACAAAACTGATAGCAGAGTAAAATGAACTTACGGCAAACTGTGACGAGTCCAACAGGATTAAACATTTCAGACTAATAATTCAAAAGCTCACAACAAGTGAAATGCTAGGTAAACCGCGGTAGAAAGCGGAGAAACTTAACTGCCAGTCGCTAATAATGCAAGCACTGGCGAAAACTGAATAGCACACTGTGCATAATGATGTTAGGTAAAGTACTAATGGGTAGATTAAGTTACCCCCAAAGGCAACGCGGAAATGCGAGATAAAAACAAAGAAAATTCTAGTTGCTACACGGAATATTCAGTATATATACGATTTCAAGGCCCATACATGCTTTAGTACTCCGAAGAGTATGCACTGTATATAGCGCTATTGGGCTCTCACGGTTTAAGAACGAAGAATATTAATTCAGGTGACAACTCTCGGCTGAACCCTATTTTTACAATATAAGGATGCCCGAGTTCAGAGTCAAATTGATTAGATTACTTTCCAGGCGTCTCTCGAGAACGTCGATTCAGCCAACGTTCTTGACATCAGGAACCTTACCAAATTTTGCCCCATAGTCTGCTGCTCCAATACTGCTGTCCTTCAGACCTTTAACCAGCTCTTCGAACGGTCGGATAAATTTCTCGATCAGCAAACAGGAAAGTGGAATGTTAGAATGACATATTAATCCGCAATGAAACAGAGAGATAAAGGAAATCAGGATCTTCTTAACAAAGCGATTTCGAATCTCCCGCTTGTTATTAAATATTCCAAACCGGATTCCATCAAAAGCATCAAATGCAGATGACTCATTGAAGTCACAGGAGCAGACACAACGTCGCGAGATACTGGCACCTTTTACGCCGTTTATTTTGACTTTGTTTGGCCTACCCTGCAGAGGGTCTTGTTCCCGTGATTCCCCGGAAATGCATGTTCCATGCGTATGTTCCCTTGTATCCTAAAATTGACCATGTTCCCCTATTCCCTAAAACCAGGGAGTGACCTATTAAATGGCGTAGGACACAAGATGGTAACCAACTGTGAACGGTTATTTAATACTTCATATTTATCCAACGCTTGAAACATATGTTAGATAACAAAATATCGCGGTAGCAATTTTACTTTATTTAAACAGTGAACAAGTAACATGACCACAGTAGTTGCTATTTGTAAATCAAACTCGAAAAAAATCTGCGAGATACTTATTTTTCCGAGCGTCACAATTGCTCTATATCAGCTGGATTAATCATGGCATGGGTTGTTGGAACATTATATAAAGACAGTATACTTGAAAAGGGAATAAGTGCGATACTTGTTCGGCTATCGGCTAACGTATTAACCTCGGGATTATTGGAGTAACCGCGGCATTTGGAATGAAAAATAGTTGTGAAACAGCTTTTCTATAATCTGGCATTCTTAGACAATAAATCAAAAAATTAATAAACGAATTACTGAACTGAAGGAGTTTAAGTACAAAAACGACCACACTGTGGATTTTCCTACACGGCACACACATATTTACTAGAATTACTAGAACTTGGAATGGTAGCCAGGTCAACACAAATGTTCCTGTTATCAAAAACAATGTCTTAGACAGCCTCGTCTCTCTCCTCGCCCTTACTCCGTTATGTATGCGGGAAGTCTGCTTACGCCAGATGACGCAGTAAGAAGTGCACGTTATTAGCAAAGGAGTCGACAAACTGATAATAATAACTGATAAAAACTGGTGATTTGTCACGATTGAATAGTGCTGAAACACTCGAACTGAAGTCACCGCGAGGGAGAGGATCCATGGCGTTGCTATGTCAATGGCGTAGCTATGTGAGGATAACTGCCGATGACGAAGTGGCCGACTGATGGCAAAGAGTCTTTCAAGAGAAATAACAGTCAATGTGAAAATGGAGGAGAGACCTGTAAACATATCGACACTATCAAAAGCGACTCGTGGCACGAGCTTGCCTTCAGAGATGACTGTGATCATATAAATCGGTACTGCAAATAATCCAACTAGCAGATCAGCTATTGCCAAATCGATTAACAGGTAAAGAGAACGTTTGCGAAATCTTCGCTTGACAAGAACTGCAATTGACAAGGAGTTACTAATGATGATTGCAACTGCTGTCACTCCAAAACAAACACTCCAGAACCAGTTCATGGTGAGTACACAACACAAGTAGAGAGAGCTGCAAGAAAAAAAGAAAGAAAGAAAGAAAATAAATAGATGAATAGATAAATAAATAAACAAAAAGATAAACAAAAAAGAATACGATACAACGTAGGATTATTATTCTTTTTATTTTTAAAAAAGGTGTACCTTATTAAAAAATAATAATAATGCGTTGTATCGGTCTCCAACGTATACCAGAAGGATCACTGTCATTCATTCATTCATTCATTCATTCATTCATTCATTCATTCATTCATTCATTCATTC